GAAAAATCACCAGTTTTACAGAGTCAGAACATGGCTGTTGTGAATGCCAACAAGAAACTACCTCTAAATCAAGGAGCTGTCAGGATTTTCCCGTTACGGTTTTTTTAAGGCTGAAGTCAAGATAGCATGCTATGGTTTTTACTGTGATGTAAAAGACCAGTGTTGCAGGTGCCAGCAGATTGGCTTGTTTACAGTTATAGACTCTACACACAGGAATCCAGATATACAGCTTGCTACAAACTTATTAAAAAAATGAATGGTAAGGATGAGGGAAAACTCAGTAAGAAAGTATTTTTTGCCTTTTTAACTTTTTCCTTTGTTTAAAGGCCTTCTTAAGATTTTATTTAAAAAAAAAGTTGCTACAAAAAGAAAGAAAATACCATTTTTTTAAATTTGGAAATGACAGGAGCCTTTTATTTTCCCCAATACTTTGATCACATCTGATGACCCTGACGACTCTGGTTTAGTTAATTGATCTGCAGTTACTTCAAAGCACCTAGTGACTGGTTCAGTCTGTCACTTAGACAAGATTTGCTTGTATTATTCATCCAGGAAATCTTGGGTTTATAGCAGTTGCAGAGTAAAATAAACCTATACTGGTAGCACATTTTTAGTCTAGGTATCTACAGCTACAGGAACCTTTTACAAGTAAGAAAACATCTCCAATAAGTGTAACTTAACCGATATTGTTGTTCTGGCAATTATTTCTAGAGGTCTAATTATAAATGCTAGTACAGCTATTGCCTGACTGCTTATTCTGCAGCATATGGTTTATGTCAATATGTTTCTAAAAAATAAATCAAACAGAGAGCCCAGTTTCCAGCTAACTTTACATGAAGTAATTGCAACTCCACCGGAAATTATGTATTAATCACTGCATTTATCTGGCAGCCATAAGGACACAAGTTAAATATTTTGGCTGGTAATACAAATTTAAAAGACACTATTTTTGTTTAGATTGACCACATTTACTTAAATCAGTTGGTTTACACTACTTGCCTGTTATAGCAATCACAAGGTGGATGTATTTATCTACAAATTGAAGTTCAGCTCCTGTAAATGAGGAACATTGGCTTATTCTGGTTTACTAGCTTTATCTTTAATCACACTTACAGAGAGTCCTTAATGGGTTGTGAGATCCAGTAATTGAGGTGGTGAGGTTAATGGGGCATCTTGCTATGCTACACATTTTCGTTGCAAATAATTTTATATATTAAATGCATGAAATCTTAGCCACATGAAAGGGAGCCAAGAATTTGTGTAGTTAAAGAAGTTGGGTTCAGCTAATGGCTGGTTGCAAAAACAAAGTCAAGAGTGATGAGAGCAGCTACCTTTAGAGAATGACACAATTGTAAGATACAACCAGTATCTGAAATGTGGCAGTGAATTATTTTGTCTAGCAATGGCAGATCTAAGGGAGTTAAAATAACAATAGTTGAAACCTGCACATGTGTTTAACTTCATCCATCCTGTAAAAGCCTAATCTCCTTTCAGTGTTTTACATATATGTGTACACGCCATGCCCAGATCTTCTGGTCAGCTCTCTGGCTATGGAGATGCTGAGCATCACCTCCACTTTCAGTGCAGAAATATAGTACAGAGACATTTTTTATACTGAGTTAGAACTATGATCTAGGCCATTCCCTGTCAGGATAAATTCTGAGATAGGTTTTTGGCCAAGTGGTCCATTTGGTAAAGCCGTAAGGTTATTTTCTCACTCAAGCAGTCACCATCCTTCTGAATTTATGCTACAAGAACTGCTCACAAGCTTGGTTGCCTACTGTGACCCTGGCTCTGTCCTTCGGTGACCATCTATGTCTCTTGCAGGATATTTCCAAAGGTGGTACAGCATGGAGAATTTCCTGTGGCACTGGCTGTTCTTAGAATAGATCAAAAGGGGCACTGTGAGAAAGACACATGTAATCCTCATGACACACGATACCCCACATTCTCCCTTCTAAGGAAATTCTGTCAGCTCAAGGGGCAGTAGTTGCTTTACTTGCCACTCTCAGGCAGAGACTGTGCCACCACTACTCATTACCTGCTTAATGGACCAGCAAAGCACTTGACTGAAATCCCGAATTTGCCCACTGTGCACTGTGATGTTTACAGAATTGAAGAAGCTGTGCTGCTCAAAAAGCAAGATGTACTGTTCTTTTGTACAGTACTGATCATCAATAAAATGTAATTTAGCTAAAACAAAAGTACTGCTTGTTAATAAAGTACAATTTAGCTAAAAGAAAAGCTTCTACAGCAGTAGAGGCAGTAGAAATGATCCAGAAAATATTGACATTATTAGAACTGCAGGTTTGTTGGTTTTTTGGGTTTTGGTTTGGTTTTGTTTTTTTGCTTGGTGTGGTGCTTTTTTTATATCCAAACTCTCATGTTCAAACTTTCAAAGAGAATGGCAGCATGAGCAGTAGTTATCAGCTGAAAGCTGTGTTAAAGAACATTAGCCAAACATGTTTCTGCTGTTGTGCTTCTACCAAACCTGCACTCCTACACATGCTGAAATCCGTACGCCAAACCTGGTGTGAATAAGGTCGCCACAGAAATCCTCCTGTGCGTATTGAGTACCTTTTAAGCCATTTGTACATAGAATACACATAAATGTGTCTTTTAATGGACAGATTGTCCATAGGCAATTCCATGGGATATGGTGAAACTTATTTTAAAAGCAAAGAAGCAACTAAATGTAGCACGTAGTCATTTAGATCAAGACTGGAGGAAAAATGGTCCTGTTCAATGAAATGTATGGGAAACATTTAGGAGACCAGAATATAACTTTTGGGATTGTTAAACAAAAAGGGAAAGAAAACCAACATGAATGCTCTCTCTCTCTTTTTTTTTTTTAAATAAAATTTTGTATTTCTAGCAACCTTCAGGGTGTTCATTTTGTACTTTCCCAAGGTACCGTATACAGAGCCAGAGAAATAACAGGAGGTCTGGGGTTTGATGTAACTCCCAGAGCTAGCCCAAATCCACAAGTGTGCAATGTATATAGAGAAAAACTGTTCACACAGTCTTACTTAAAGCTGCTTAACAGCTTAAAATGATAAAAAGTCCTTAACACAATTTAAGAACTTAAACCACTTAAACTGTCTGAAGCAGCTTGTGAGTTTGAAGGGTTTTGTCAGGGGTGGTAGAGGCATCTCTGCTGAGCTGCAGCTCTGGGGACAGAGATCACACAGTCTGCCAAAGGGGCTCTTTTGCAGCCAAATCGGGGAGGCCTGGAGGTGACGTGCTGGAGACGATGGAAGAGGTTTCTACATATTTTTATGTAGCATTATGTATATGCCTGGATGGATTTGGTTTAAATAGCATTGCAGGGAATCTTACAGGTATGCTAGGTGTAAGCAGTGGCATCCCTCCAGTGAAGCAGGGAAGAGGGTGGCAGAAAAATATTGTCTATAACAATGTGGAAAATAGCTTCAGGGCCAAGGGAAGACTCCTCAGGAGCATTTTGAAGAAATGTTCTGAAAGAGCTCAAAGGCAAAATGTTTTGCTTTTGTGGCTCCAGGAGTTGGAGACAGATGGGAGGTGGCATGAGTGGTCCTTTCAGATGTTTTCATGGGGACTTTTATTTTCTGAAAGACTGTTTTTGGGGAAAGAGATGAAGGGTGGGAGGTAGAGAGGATTGCTTTAGTTTGACTGATCTCAACCAGTGTTAGTCAGCTGAACATATCAGAAGCACCTGATGTTGTTATTATGTAAGGTTCAACAGTCATAGAACAAAAACCATTACTTATGATATCCAGCTTGATCCCTGCTGCTGTATGTGTTGGTCAGTGGTTGTGTGTTTGTGTGCGTGTGTGCTCAGATGAAAACAATGGTGGCATTGCACAGAACTGATGTAAAAAAGCTGGAGAGGGACTTTTTACAAGGGCATGTAGTGATAGGACAAGGGGAAATGGCTTTAAACTGGAAGGGGTTAGATTTAGATTAGACATTAGGAAGAAATTCTTCACTATGAAGGTGGTGAGACACTGGCACAGGTTGCCCAGGGAAGCTGTGGATGCCCCCTCCCTGGAAGTGTTCAAGGCCAGGTTGGACAAGGCTTTGGGCAACCTGGTCCGGTGGGAGGTGTCCCTGCCCATGGCAGAGGGGTTGGACCTAGGTCATCCTTAAGGTCCCTTCCAACTCAAACTATGCCATGAATCTATGATACTTGACAACAAAGTAAAGAGGCACAGGAATGGGAATGAATGTCTAAAGGTGGAAAACAGCTAGGATGTTTCTTCTGATGGCAGTGATGCCACCTTAAATGTTTTGAAACTTGGCCTGGTTTTCATTGATGCAAGCAGTGATTTTCACCTTTCTGTGCAGAAAAGGCTGTAAACCAAGAGTGAATTACATTCTGTACAATTGGAAAATAAACGGTGCATTCACAGCCACTCACATTGAGGCCAATTTACACTTACAGAGTGGTATGATGAGTAAATGAAAGTTAGGCCTGTGTGTGAATGAAAAATGCCTGTTTTACCAGAGGCTGTGAAAAGAGAGAGAGAGAGACTGAGTGGAAATTGGAAGAGAGACTCTTATGTGTTTGTTTAAAATAGTCCTATTGATTTGGAGTCAGATGCAGTATAGGTGTAACTGCAAACTAATTCCACTGATTTCTGCAAGGTATTTCTGGTCATGCTGATGGGGCTGGAAGTTTATATTTATAATCTGAGATTTTCCTGTGCTCGAATAAGTCTTTATTGCTCTACATTGTTATGCAAACTTGACATCGTAATATTTAACATGAATGTTATCTGTCAAAAAAAAATCTTTACAAGCATATAAAAGAGCTCGGGTATAGTTAAATTCATATGACCTAAATACAATGAAATTACTCCTTGGTTTCCTTTTATGATGAGGAAAGAGATATGCAAATGTTACTTGGTGAGGGTAAATGCTTTCTGACTAATGACAGACATAGAAAGAAACCATGTAATGAATGAGATCTTGGTAGTGTACTGCGTAATGCTAATATCTCAATATCGCTTGAATTTCAGAACATTTCAGGATCTGTCCAAGCAAATGGATATATCTTATGGTACAGTCAGGGATTCAGCAGTGTACGAATACTTTAAAGCAAAAGGGACAAACCCTTTGGAGCAGGATAACACATTTGCTGAACTGTGGAGGACTATCAGTAAGAATAATGGGGCAGATAATTGTGTATCGAACCCTTCGGAAGGCATCAGGAAGGTAAGACTGGATCACAGGGTTTTTAATTTAATTTTTTTTCTGTATCAATGTTGTTTACTTGGATTTAATCATGTTAAGCCACAGGGAAGCAATTACATAGTCATTAAAAAAATCCCTGTCTAAAGTTCCTTTTAGTAACTCAGTAGCAGATAAGAATCATATTTTGGGGTCGTGGTTTTGAATTTAAGTACCTTTGCTCTGCCTGAGTCTTCAGTACGTATGTACTTCTTTGGATCTGGCCATAACGTTTCTATGTTTCTTGGGAGCTCCAATAATACCATTTTGAATGTAATTCTTTACATTATCCAGGTACTGTCTCTTGTTCTTTCCTTCTTTGAGTGTTTCTTTCTTCTGAGTTGATGGATTGAGCTTTGTAGAAACATGAGTAAGAATGAAGAGATCCACTGAACGTATACTCATCTCTCTTGGAACAGAAATTTAATGCAATATTTTCTTTGTTTATTCCAAACTTTAAAAAATGCATGTATACTATCACATCATCATGTTTCTACCTAACTTTTATTTCTCTTGGATATGACTACACATTTTCTTTTGTGAAACTTTTGTGGGATTCAGGAACTGACATAGAATGAACTGGGATCCTACACCCTTATGCCGAGTCCTGTGGTAAATCACCCTACTTCAGATCACGCAAATACAAACGATCATACTTTCTCACTCTTAGGCTGCCTCTCCTCTCTCCTCTGCTTCCCATCTTGTAGTTCAGCAAAACCAGACAGTAAATAACATCCAACCATGTGTCCAGAAGCACTTTACTGTGGAGGGGTTGTAGAAGTAGTCAGTGAAAGTTTATTGTGCTGCTCCTTTTGTGAAAAATGTCCTTTTCATTTGTCAATTGATTTTTTCCACAAAAAAAGCTAACAGCTGTTATTAATGTGATGATTGTTTGATCAGAGTTACTCTGTCGGTGAAACACTGATTCTGAATAAATATATTACCAGTTATTTATGCTTTGGTAAGTGGGAAGTAATGAAATACTTGGGGCTTGGGTTTCTTTTTTTTTTTGCTTTGAAGCCCTTTCTGAACAATCAGAGGGAAAGTATCCAAAAATTACTGGTTTGTACAGTGTCATAAGGGGGGTGGGCACAGGCCATCTCATTTCCCAAATAAAAGTCCTTTAACGTAAGATTCACAACTGTTTGTGTGACTTTTGAACAAAACCCTCATACAGATAGACTTGTGACTTCTCTGCACAGGAGCATTTAGTCAGTAGTTTTGGTTCACTCTGCCTTTTCTCCCATCTCCCAGCTGATCTTTCCTAAAGCCCTCTGTCCCTGGCTTAATTACCCTTTCTTCCTTGGTATAAGGTAGAGCTCTGGCAATAGCAAAGTCTGTAGTGTGTTGATTTTTCTGTAACTGCTCAGCATTTTATGAAAATGAGGCCTCAAGTCTGAGAGACTTTGTTAGCATTTAAAGGAGGTAGAAATACAGACATTAAGTAAGTACTTTTCTATGTACCCTGTCATTAAAACCAATGATAAACCAGTTTACTTTAGAAAACATGCACAGCACTTTACTTTTTTGGGTTTTTTTTGTTTGGTGTGTGGTTTGGTTTTTTGTTTTTGTTTTGTTGGCTATTTTCTTTGTCTGTTTTGGGGTTTTGCTTGTTTGTTTGTTGGGGTTTTTTTTACCATTCGTATGTCAGTGGATGCTCTTTAGCCATTAGATTGTGAATACTCCTGTTCTGTAAGCCTACTGCATGCTGCCCTTCACAAGAGCTAGATTTGCCTAAGCCAGAAAAGTAACTGTAGATTGGCAAACTGTTTAGAATACCAACTGCATCATCTGTATGGAGCTGAGAGCTCCATCCTAATCTATGTGATAATAACTTTTCATACTAAGTTTGACTTCAATACTGTAGGGTGATTTTTATATAACTTGATCAGCTCATTCAATTAACATCAACAGTAACGAAATTTACTTCAGTCCCCAAAGCTGACCAAGGCTGCTATTTGATTAGACACCTACATAAATTTGGCTTAATATTTAATAACATTATCAACTAAACTGTTGTGCTTATAGTTTAAATGTTCTTCTTCCTAGCTCATTTAGTGCTTTGAATAAACAGACAAGTTTTCCATGTCAATTACTATGGCTAGAAATTCTGTTTTTCTAAAGGAGAATTGATGTCAGCAAAGGAAATAGGACTTTCCATCTGTAAACATGTACTGCTGCATGAAAGAGATGTAAATGTGCCTTAAAATTATATTTTACAGGAAACGGGAAATCCAAGTCTCTCTAGCATAGAAAGATCCCTAACACATTTTTATGAATGAGGGCTTGCCTGACACAATGCCAGTAAAAAAAAAAAAAATTATCATTACTATCCTGTCTCC